CAGAGAGAGAGGGAACACAAGCAGGGGGAGTGGGAGAAGGAGAAGCAGGCTTCCCGTGGAGCAGGGAGCCTGATGTGGGCTTGATCCCAGAACACTGGGATCATGACTCCAGCAGGTGACTGAGCCACCCAGGTGCCCCTCATCTTCTGTTTTCTAGAGGAGACTGTACAGAATTGGTATTTATTTTTCCTTAAGTGTTTGGTAGAATTTGCCAGTAAAACCATCTAGGCCTGATGATTTCTTTTTAGAAGGTTTTAAACTATGAATTCCATTTCCTTAATAGCTATGGGACTGCTTAGGTTTATCTATTTCATCTTGGGTGGGTGAGTTTTGGTAGTCTGTGGTTTATGAAGAATTGGTCTGTTTCATCTATGTTGTTGAATTTATGTATTTAGAGTGGTCAGTAGTGTTCTCATCATTTTAATGTCTGTGAAGTCTATAGTGATATTCCCTCTCTCACTCCTGATATTTGTAATGTCTTCTTCTCCTTCTCCTCCTTTTTTTTTTTTTTTTTGGGTCAGTTTTGCCTCAGTTGAAAATATTTTATTTCCCTTGAAGCTTCCTCTTTGGCCCGTGGATTATTTAGAAATATGTTGCTTCATTTCCAAATGTTTGGAGATTTTCCTGTTACCTTTCTGTTATTGTGGCCTGAGTATATACTTAGTATGTTTTCGGATCTTTTGTTAAAGTTCGTTTTATGACACAGAACATGGTCTATCTTGGTGAATGTTCCATGAATACTGAAAAAAATGACTATTATGCTATTGTTGGTAGGATGTTCTATAAATGTCAGTGAAATAGATATCCAGTTGGTTGATGATATTCCGTTCTTTATTCTTGCTGATTTTTTATAATTCTGTTGGTTCTGGAGATTCTATATTGCTGGATATAAAATTATGTGTTAATAGTTTCAGTACTCTAAAAATGTTATTTCACCTCTTTCTGGTGTTCATGGTTTCTTTCTTTCTTTTTTTTTTAAAGATTTTATTTATTTATTTGACAGAGAGAGACGCAGTGAGAGAGAGAACACAAGCAGGGGGAGTGGGAAAGGGAGAAGCAGGCCTCCCGCGGAGCAGGGAGCCCGACACGGGGCTCGATCCCAGGACCCCGGGATCATGACCTGAGCCGAAGGCAGACGCTTAATGACTGAGCCACCCAGGCGCCTCTCTTTCTTTTTTTTTAATTAAAGATTTATTTATTTCAGAGAGAGAGCAAGCAAGCAGGGAGAGGGGCAGAGAGAGAGAATCCTGAAGCAGACTCCTCACTGAGTGCAGAGCCCAACACAGGACTCAGTCCTAGGACCCTGAGATCACGACCTGAGCCGAAACCAAGAATAGGCTGCCCAGCCTATTGTGCCATCCAGGTGCCCCTGGTGTTCATGGTTTCTAATGAGAAATCCACAGTCATTCAAACTGCTGTTCTCCTATAACTAATGCATCATTTTTCTCTGACTGCTTCCAGATTTTTTGCTCGTTTGTGTTTTAATCTTTTTTCTCTCTCTGGGTCAAACTGGATAATTTCTCTTGATCTATCTTCAAGTTATTGACTTTCCTCTGTCATCTCCATTCTCCTATTGAGTCCATCCAGTGACTTTTTGTTACTGTTTCTAAATTTACAAAATTTCCATTTGTTTCTATTTTTCATTCTTCCCATTTGTTTCAAGAGTATTCACCTTTACCTCTTTTTTAAAAAAAGTTTTTTAAAGATTTTTATTTATTTGAGAGAGAGTGAGAGCAATCACGAGTAAGGGTAAGGGTAGAGAGAGAAGCAGACTCAATCCCAGGACCCTGGGATCATGACATGAGCCGAAGGCAGACGCTTAACCAACTGAGCCACCCATGCGCCCTCACCCTTACCTCTTGGGACAATATTATAATCGTTGCTTTCAAGTCTTTGTTCAATAATTCCAACATCTGTGTCATTTAAGTGTTGGCATCTGTTATCTTCTCCTACAAGACTTGAAATATTCACAGTTCTTCATATGCCAAGTAATTTTGGATTATACCCTGGACATTTAGAATATTATGTTGTAAGACTGTAGCTCTTAATTTAAATCCTTTAGGGAATGTTGATATTTTGTTGTAGTAGACTCAGTTGGGTTTAGACTACAAGCTTGACCAGCCTTCTGTGGGTTGGGGTTCCACTGTGAGTTCTGTTTTCAAAGACTTTCTGGTGGTATGTGGCTCCATCCTGAGTGTGCACTACCCAGTGGTTAGTCTAGGTTCGTGGCAGTAGTCTACCCCATAGTTCAGTTTCAAAGACTTTGGTATGCTATTAGGATGAGATCCTCATATGTGCAGCCCACGGGTGAGCCTAGGACTTTAGGATGTTTTCTGAGGTCACTTTCCCAAGTTCCTCCCTCTCCATGAGTACCTCGGTACCTGCCATTTCTTAGAGTTCTCCTTTTCAGTCCTCTAATCAGAGAGCTGGGGCTTAATTACCCCCCTCTGCTGTGTCCTTCCTACAACTGCACCTCCACTTGGGACCAAGCAGTGGGCGGATAAAAAGAGAAAAATACTCAGTGGGGACTAATCCCACTCTCTGACCGTAGAGGGAGGTTGGCCTCACTCAGCATCTCAGATGCTGTGGGACCCTGCTGCCACCAGCACCACAGCATTGCCAGGGGCCTGGGACACAAGAGAACCAAGAAACAAAAATTACAGAAATCCCCAACAGGGCATTTCCCCTATTCTGAGTGTCAGGAATCCCCTTTCCCATTCCCTGATCCAGAAGGAGAGGGCTTCTGGCTCTGTCTCACCCAGTGCCCACTTCTGCATTTCGGGCTGCGTCAAGTCCAGGTGGGACACACAGGAGGCAAAAGAGAGGCAAACTGACTGCTGACTCAGCACCACTCCGAAATCTTGTCTTCAACCCCAGCCTGTCCGCTGCCCTTTACTTTCCCGTTCTCAAATAGCTGCTTTACTCATCCTGTCCAAGCTTTAAAACCGGGCCACCTGCTCAGAGTCTAGCGATCCCCGCCCAGCTTCAGCCAGGCCGTCAGCAGAGGGGCTGCCTGTGTGGAGGAACTACCCACTGGAGCCTCTGATTCTTGGTAATGTGGCGCATCATCCTCTAGGAGATGCTCTCCTATCTGACCCTTCCCCCTACCACTATAAAGCACAGGACTGGGAGAGTTTAGCTAAATCACCTGGCATCTGTGTGGGAGACATGGGGCAGAGAGGAGGAGCCCAGAGAGATGGGCACCCTGCCTTCAGACTGCAGCACTGTCAAACAGTGCGTGCTCCTACGGCTACTATTACAGCGTAGAAGGGCCCCATGAAGGTAAAAAGTATCTATGGCCTCAAGAAAGGGAACAGGTTACTAAAGGTATTCCAAATAAGGTAATCACTAGAATAAAACTAAAAAATGTCCTAAATACAAATAAAAACAAAGTGCCCAGAGCACACCCTGTAGGTACGTATTTGTGTGCATGTATTCATATAGACACCAAGGAGCTGTAACATAGGATGGAATAAGAGAATTGACACCAAAACTATCAGCAATATTCTGCAGTCAATAAAAAGAATGGGAAAGACCTAAATATAAATATGTTAATAGGGAGTGATCCCCTGAAAATGTCTGAGGGAAAATAGCAAGGTGCTCTTTTCTATCTAAAAAGTTACTTTTTGTGTAAGGAGCAGAAAGGTAGGAATATATACAGATTTGCTTACACTTGCCAAAAAAAACACTGAAACCAAGAGCATAAAAATGACTACCTATCGGGGAGGGACAAGAAAGGGGGGAGGTGACAGGGACTGAAGCCAGACTTTGACAAACTTTCTCATATCATCTGGCTTTGAAATATAAAGGTCTGATAAATTCGGTGTGGAAAAGAAAAGCAATGCCTAAAAATGGAAAATAAATGGAATGAAAAGAACCCAACTGGGCAAGTTGGTGATACAGGCACACTGTGAAAACAATTATTTCCGTTGCCCTTAGAACAGAGCATTCCAGGGGCGCCTGGGTGGCACAGTCATTGAAGCATCCAACTCTGGATTTCAACTCGGGTCATGATCTCAGGGTCCTGGGACCGAGCCCCGAGTCAGGCTCCGCTGGGCTCAGCGTGGAGTCGGCCTGGGATTCTCCGTCTCCCTCTGCCCCTCCCCCTGCTCGTGCTCTCTACCTTCCTCCAAAATTTAAAAAAAAAAAGAGAACACAGTATTCCAATTGTACATCTTTAGTGGAACATGTCATAAGGACAAATAGAGCAGCAAAGAAACCTTAAACTTCTCTCAGTATCCTACCCGCACTTGTCCCATGGGGATTCTCACTCTGCAGTGATTATGCGTGTGTTCAGTAGAATCCCGTACATGAATAGTTGGGGTAGGATAAACAAAGAACGAATGTGGCAAGGAACCAAGTGTACCAGAGAAGATATAAATTTAAAAATCACAGCAGTTGTAAGTCCTGTAATGTTAAACTGGCATTGGAATGAATTGGTGTGAACTCTCCCCTCTGCCCCAATAGGACTTTCCTAGCTTGTCACCGCAAAGACCCAGAAGCAAGGCCAACCCCACAGCGGTGAGCACACACGGCGCTCAGGCTGTGTCTCCGGACAGCACTCTCTATTACAAGCAACCCGAGTTTCTGAAAGAGTGGATGACTACAGGTCTGGGACAGGAGAGGCGCAAGATAAGAAAGAACATCCTGCTGGACCAAAAGCTACCGAAGGCTGACCTGTGCTGTCGAAAAGACAGGGAGCCAATGGGAAGGACGCCATTGACCTGGACAGGATAATTTGAATATGAAAAGAGTAAGATATGCAACTGACACAGGAGTCCACAATGATATTGGGAAAAAAAAAAATAGAAGGACCCTCCTTCACCCTTCCCCCCCCCACAAACCAACCCCCCCCCCAACAACTCACTAGTTAACATTTGCAGTAAGCTAGAACTTCTCTCTGAAAATTGGTAATTGAAAAAAAAAGAGAAGCACTGAACTTTCATATACTTCAAGGTAACAAATGAGTCCTGGTCGATGCTGGAAAGTTCTTTGCAGAAAACTTACAGTTGATCAATACAGAAAGGAAGCAAGAACAGAGCCAGTCTCCCCAACTGGAGCCTGGAGATAATGTGCACTACGCCTACAGGTGGTGCTGAGGATTGAAGACGGAAGTCAAGAACTCCATCAGGCCTCACTGAGCCCTGATATACATTTACTCCCCTCTCTAACTCAGGCTTGGAAAAAACACACGCACCTTCTCCTCATCACTGTCACACTGCGTGTGAGTTTCTAGTGCGTTGTCTGGAGGCTGGCCCTGCAGGTGGTGGGAAGATTCTCTTTCCTGTGCTCGGAGAGCCAAGGATCCCTCCACAGTAACGGGAGTATGGGCAGAGAGGACACCGAGAAAGGGATCCAGCAACGCAAGCGCAGTGTGGACAAGTCGAAGTGAGACCTGAACCAGACTGTCAGGACAGGAGTCGCCCACGCTGGCATTTCTCAGCAGCTGTCAACACCTGAGACCTAGCCTGCTGGAGGAGGAAATGCAAAGGAAGCCGACTTCCTTGACTGCATGAGAAATGAGTCATGACAAAGCTGAGTGTTAAAGGGCTGGCTGCGAGGGGCCCCAGATGTCCCAAAGTCAACACAGGTGTAACTCCCCGACAAAGCAACCAGTCTGGAACTAATCAAGACAAGGGTGTGTTCACCGCACTGGCCAACTCACCAGGTCGCTGCTGACTAGGAAAGCTGAAAGGTCCACCAGGACCCACGTGGGGATCATAAAGAAGACAGCGTGGCAGCCCAAGATGTTCAGGAGCCGGAGATGGTGGATCCGTGAATCTCTCAATACCTAAAGAAAGAAAAACCTTCTTAACGGCCAGTTGAAACTCTTAAGTGGCAAGAAGGGCTCCAGTTATCCAGGTCCCAAACACAGTGACTGTACATGAGCCCTGACGTCCGATCTTGACCACCAAACCTACAAGTGCACCTGCAATGAGACAAAAATGCCCCAGACAAATAATGAAGGACTGAGAAATGAAAAAACCCAGCAACACTCAGTCCTGGTGAAGCTGCAGTGAAAGAGGCACTCTGAAATCCCGCTGGTTTACGTCTACATTGGCATACAGCTGTTCGAGAATACAACCAGGCCAAGTGTATCAGGAGCCGTAAGTATCTCATACACTCCGACCCAAGAACGGTAAGCCTATGTAGGGAAATAACCTGACAGACAGGAAAACATTATGCACAGAGATGTTCATTACTGCATTACTTATTTTTTTTTTTTTGAAAGATTTTATTTATTTGAGAGACAGGGTGAGAGAGAGAAAAGGAGGAGTGGGAGGGGCAGAGAGAGAGGGAGAAGCAGACTTCCCGCGGAGCGGGGAGCCCAGATGCGGGGCTCGATCCCAGGACTCGGGGATCATGACCCGAGCCGAAGGCAGACGCTTCACCGACTGAGCCACCCAGGCGCCCGCCCCCCTACGCCCCGTTACTGCATTACGTATGAGGAAGAGTTGGAAACAGTCTGCACTGCAGTAGGGAAACTGACTGCATTGACTGTGGTGTCAGAAAAAGAGTGTGTATTACAGGATTTAGAGGAGTATTTTTTAAAGATATGGGAGAATGTTATAAATAGTAAATGAACAAAGCAAAATTTTGAAATGTATAATATTACAACTCTAGAAACTGTGCGAAAAAGACCCCTAGCATTAATAGCAGTTCTCTTTAAGGGACACTACTATGACTTTACTCAGCACGGGACCACCTGGGCAGGGGGCCGGTCTCTACTATTACTCATCTCCTGCACCCACTCTGGTGCCTGAAAACACAGTAGATGCTCAGGAAGTTTTCTGATTTTGGGGGGAGGGGGGCCTTTCTCTATTTTTTCACACTGAGCATATGCTAATTTTATAATAGGAAACAAACTCTTGAAAAAAATGAAACAACAAATACAAAACCAGTAGAAGGGCACCAGGATTTTTTTCTTGTTCCAACACCACAGAAATCCCTATTGACCACTCTCTCATCCGTGCCACCCCCCAATCAGACATTTCCCAGATGGTGCCCAAATACCTTTTTGGAGAAAATATTCTGAAGCGAGAAGCACAGTGTGGCAGCGAGGGCACTGATGAGCCCCCACATGTCGAAGGACAGCTCGGTGACGGTGGCCAGCAGGACGCCGCTGATGATGGGGATGAGTGACAGGTACACCTGCGGGAGGAGGGCAGGAGGGGCTGAGGGCCGGAGTTGAGCCAGGCTGCCCGACACAGATGCGTGGAGGAAAGCCTCGGCTGTTCTCCCCTCCCTCAGCAAAGGGACCCCACCTACCCCCTGGTCAACAGTGTTAGCTGTGGCAGCGATGCTGGAGGGGCGCAGGGGGTGGGGCAGACGGGGCAGAGTCCCTGGGGGCAGGGCTGTGTCACTGTGCGCAGCCCCACTCCCTTCACAGTCACTTCTCAGGGCCACAAACGGGGGCTGGCCCGAACAGCTCCATCCAGCTGCTGCCACCAACACACCAAAGTCTAAAACCCCGATCGTCCGAGAGGCTGGCCAGGGCCTGTCTCTTCCAACAGGCAGTTACCCTTGGCTGGGACACTCCCTGTATGCCTTTTCTGGCTAGAGGCCTCCTTCCCCTCTCAGGTCTCAGTTCACAGACCAGGAGAACTTTCATCTCTCCCCGCAAGACCCCATCAGGTCCCTGTGCTGTGTGTTCTGGGGCGGTGTTCTCCACCCACTAAAAGGGCCCATCTGCGTCCCTGTGCTCTTTTAGGGCAGGTCCTTGTTCACTGCTCTGTCCTGTGACGGTGCACTGGCTGAAGGAAGAGTGAGTGCCGTGATAAGAGGCTTTCTAGAAGGTCCAAGCTTTCCAAGGCCTAGTGTATGCAATGGTTCCTGAGCTCGGGCAGCTAAATGGCTCCAAACTTCCAGAGAAATAGGATCCATTTTTGACATCTAGCTTTTCTGACTCCCAGCTCACCCTCCTCCTACAAAGGACACTTGAAAGCACTGCAGAAATTTTAGGAGGGGTTGGCGAGGCTTCTCATCCAACCCTGGAGGAAAAAGCAAGGGCTCTGGACTGGAGAGGGGGCGCTCAATTCTAGCTCCCCCACTACTGGCTGTGGGCCTCAGGCACTTGACTTACCCCTTATGTCCCATTTCTTGTGCTGAGATCAAGAATGACAATTACCTACCTGCCTTATCTGTCTCATAGGGTGGGTCCATACATATTCTGCCTTTATCATTAGTCTTTGCCTAGGCCATTCCTCAGTCCCTCCTCACTAAGGTGCCAGCTCCTTGCCCAAGCTGGGTACAATGTTCTATACAATGGGGAAACCTGATAAACATGATGTGATATCGAGTGATGAAGCTGCACACCTCCGGGGCAACTCCGACCCAGGGAGACAAGTCACACCTGACATCGCCCTGAGGGTGGGCTACAGAGCACACCCAGGTCTTGCAGAGAAAAAGACAGACTGAAACCAAAAATCAGCCAGAGGTGGCCCAATTTCCATAAGCCGATCCAGGGCAACGCCACTCTGGGTTACATAAAATACAGGATGCCAGAAACCAACCACGTAAAAAAGAAGTGCTCTGTCCAGCATGAAATGGATTCCAGCTGGGACAACAGCAGTCCCACTTCCACTTAAGGACACGGAGCAAGGCTGTCTCTGGCTGAAGCCACAGCTTCTCTCGCCCCAAGCCAGGAAATACCCTGGCTTGGCATCTTGAACAGACTCTGGATTGTGCCCAAAGCATCTTCCTTATGCAGTCCTAGGCTCTGAGCGTTGCTTTTACTTCCATTCCCAGACACAATTCCTGGTGGTTTTTATTTCGAAGACTTTGCTGGATTTTGCCAAAATCAGACTGTTTTGACTGGCAATCTCACTTCTGACCCCAAAAGTCCCCAACCTGACCGCTGTCACTTGCAAAGAAGTGAAACTTTGTCAGAGTTCCAGCAAGGCGTCAGATGTTCTATCCCTAGTCCCCCTGGAGGGGCACGTGGTGCCTGGTCATGATGGGACCAAGTCATTGCCTATCAGCAACCACACGTAGGGAATCAAAACATGAAGGCAAGTTGGACCTGAGAGGGACAGGAGCGTACCTGAGACCACAGACCAGAAGCAACTCAGGGACACACACCAGTGCCTCCAAAGCGATTACAGAACATTAGCAGTAAAAGGCCACCAGAAGCCTCTAAGCTGACTTCCTGATTTGAGAGGAAGCCAGGAGCCTGGACCACGTCACCAGCTGGGCACCAGCCAGGAAGCCCTTGGGGCCCCCACCTGCCCAGAACCCTCCTGGGTTACCTTGGTGCTCTGCTTCTCCTTCATGATGATCCGGGACAGGAGAACCACCCAGATGGGCATGGTGGCCTTGACTGCAAAGAGAGGCAAGGGGCTCTCAGGGAGCCGCCCCAGTCCCCGAACCCACCCTGGGACCCTGTCCCAACTCCACTAGTGCGATGGGAGGGCTTGGCAGCCCTTCCATCCTCCTCAGCCCTTCTGCGGGGCTTCCCCCCAACCCAACAGTTGTGATTCGCCCTGCTCAGCTCCCAGCCCTCTTTTTCAGCCACTTCCCTCCCCAAAACCCTTGTGCGAGTCCCCGCCCCCCCCGCTAAAAGCCTTGTTGGCCCCCAGCGCCTTCCTGACAGAAGTTGACTTCTCAGGCCGTCGGGCTGCAACCCGGCCAGCGTACTCCTATCCAAGCGCCGAAATCCCGGGTGGCGCGTCCGGGCCGCCGCCCCCCAGGCCGGCCGCGACACCCACCGGTGTGCGCGTAGGACACTGGCACCTTCCAGATGCTGACGTGCGCTGACACGGACGCGAAGTACTTGCCGAACGCGAGTGGCAGCACGTAGCGCGGGTAGAAGCGCGGCGGCAGCAGCGGGCCGGGAGACGGATGCGGCCCGGGCCCAGGGCCCGAGACTGGGGGCGCGGGGGGCACGCGCCAGGCGCGCAGCAGCGGCGGGAGCCCCGCGCACAGCGCCAGGATGTGGCACAGAGACACGGTCACGGGGAACGGGAAGGCGCTCAGAATCACCTTGTTGACCACGTTACCACCCGCGCTCAGCGCGTACCACAGCAG